GGCCGGGCGGAGGGGTCGGCGCTCGGGGCGGCTGCTCCGGGGGTGGTTGGTGAGAGGGTTAAACCGCCCCTTCCGACTGCTGCCGTTGGAGAGGGAAAGAATTACGTGCGGTCAGGATGCTGGAAAGCCGTGGATGAGCTTGTGTGCGCTTAATTGGAAAAAATGGCATGTTTTGGACCGCGTAGCTCATCTGTGAGGAAAACAACGGGAGCGGAAGCATAAACGTTGGCTGAGGCTTTTTTTTTTCCCTTAATAAGGGCTCAAACAAGGTGTTTTCTATACAGAAACAAAATAAATACATAACTGCTGTAGTCCCTCGTAAGCTGTAAACATTCTTTTGGTGACTTTGCTAAGAATACATGCCAAAAATGGCATTTTTTTGACTAACTGGAAAGTGCAGAAATCCAGTGAGTGTATAATTAGCTCTATTTTAGTTGTGTTAGGCTTATCTGAAGCGTGTCGGGTCAGCCACTGTTAGAAGTAGTATGGATTGATTGCAGATCACCCTTGAGAAAGTGTAGCCAGTAAAGATTGCAGGTAGACATAACACTACTGTTTAAAAACAGCTTCCTCTCCTGACAAATTATGAATTTAGGCTCTTTGGTATGAAAACTGTCCATGTGGCAGGACTGTGGAGTTAAATTATTGCTTCTGTTACAGCATGAAACTGAAAAGAACTGCTCAGGCACAGTAAATACTCCCTGGTACTTGTCCCAGCTTTTCTGGCCGGTCTATACATTGGAAAGAATTGTTTCACTTTTCTCCATGGGGAAACTCCCAGCTCCTTCCAATCTTATTTCTCACTGGTGTTTCCCTAGGTCCTATTACTTTCACATCTTCTATTTCTGCTCCTCTTCTTTGAGGCTTTCCCTATCTCCCAAATGTTCTTTTTTGTTGTTGTTTTTTTACACTGCACAGAAAAAAAAATCTGTGCCACATCGACATATGCATTGCCAATCACTGCCCTCCTTTTTTGTATCATTCACTCTGTACTTACGTAATTAGAGGTTTCCAATAACTAGCAATTTGGCCATCTTAGGCAACACTGCTATGTGTCTAATCGTTTAATAATCTAGTGCCCCCTTTTTTTTTTTTTTCTCCTGGGTAGGTGACTTGCAAATTGTTCTGCTGCTATTATCATATTACTCCATGAAGCCCTTCCTGTCATGAACCGTGCTAGATCTGTAGCATTTCAAGGTTCTTTCCTAATCCCTTCTCAGTTGTTCTCCCTACGTATGTTAATATTACGCTGTCTCTGGTTCTGAAGGGCCTGATGATTGCAATTTTCAACCTTCGTATTTTGGTTATGGCTCTGTGATGATGCTCTTGATTTGGACGTACTTTGGACTCTGGTTGCTGGGCTTTGGTTGCCGGATCATCTGACCAGACACTAGTGAAAATGCATAGACTTGGGGATGCATTTGGGTATGTTTTGCCTGGGCAATAAGCAGAGAACGTAATTGCTAAGGGCAGCTTCCTGCTCCTCAGTGTTGTGCCTTTATGTCTAAATATTTTATGTTTGAGTTAATAAATTCTGGAAATATACCTACACACAATCACAAATAATCACTGTAAGCTTATATAGGGAGTGTAAGTCATGAAAGAATTGACTTTTAAACAGAGAATAGTAGAATACGGGTATGGGTGGTTCAGCTTGGCAAAAAGTCTCCCCAAAAGAGATGAGAAGTGGAGCTATCACTGCCCACAGGTATCTGATGGGGGGAAGCTACCCCAGCAAGAAGCAGCTGTTGAATAGAGCAAAGAGGGCGGCTGAAGGCCAAAGCAGCTGGAAAACCAGCTCCGTGTGCACCCAGCAGCCTCGCAAGCAGAAACAGGAGATGCTCTTCAGATGGAGGACACAGACTAGGCGCTGGGAATCTTGCTAACGGTGAAGCCCTGGTACCGGTGGTTAACTGGTGTGAGGGGCAGCCTTCTTGGGAAAATTAGGGGTGGGAGAAGATCCCTCCTGTCTAGAGCTCAACGCTTGCGAGCTCCGAAACTGTTTTCTTTAGAAAGAGATAAAGTGTGATCAGCTTCGACCCCTCGGGGCTCCCCGAGGGGGGCACGCGCCTCCCGCGGGGCGGCCGCCGCCTGCTCGCCCGTTACCTCGAGCCGGGGCAAACA